CAATCAGGCGGGCAAATGAGCAGGCGCGAAACCTGGCATTAAGGCGAACAAACAGGCAGGCGAGGAAACAAGCACGCGAGCTTGCAAGCATCAATGCACGCGAAATGGGAAGTGCACAAACACATACGCGCACATGCGAGCACACAAGATAGGAAATGATCAATGTGTAAGCAGCCGTACGGGAAGGCTTGCGTTAAGACAGCATGCAAGCCAGGCAGATGAAAGTTACATGTACGTAGACGTCTAAGCATGACTAGGATCAGGTGCACAGACATGCGCGCTGGTACGCATGAGAGTACAGAGGCAAGCAACTCACTTATCAAACGCGCGAGTCTCTGCATGCCTAACCTCATGCCCGTGAGAATAAACACTAGGGGATAATAAAGTTCGGGGTCCAGGGAGAGATAATACAAGTAGCCCAGCAGACCTCAGCATAATCTCGAAGTAAGAGATGATCAAGAGGAGACCAAGCCGAGCACGTTTTGAGACATCCTTGGCGTTTAGTTTTCATAGAAATATCCTCAACAATGGCTTATCTCTCATGAAAATTGTTTTTTGTAAGTGCTCGTGTAGGGTAGCTCATGTGCCTCAATTTCCATGGATAATCAACCCCAGAGATAAAAAAGTTCAGGCGAGCGTGGGGACAGAGAGAAATATAAAAGAAGAAGAATACAGTAGAAGAATAATAAGAAAGAAGAATAAGAGGAGAATAAGAAGAGGACGAAAAAAGGAAAAATCCAAAGTTCCAAATCTATCAATTTTAATTTACAAACGCTTTATGAAAATTGATGTTTTAGTGCTCGTGTAGGGTAGCTCATGTGCTTCATTTTCCATGGATAATCAACCCCAGGGATAAAAAAGTTCAGGCGAGCGTGAGGACAGATAGAAATATAAAAGAAGAAGAGGAAAGTATAATAATAATAAGAACATTGCTCGTTTCGTTTGAGTCTGCCTCCCAAAATTATTGGTTTCGCTTGACACATCCTGAAAAAGTGTGATCGCTTCGCTTGATGTTGCTATATCAACATCGCTTGATGTTGCTATCTCAACATAGCGTTTCGAGGTGATAATGAAGTTCGGCCTCAGCGCTCGCCGCCCAATTTGAATTTTGTATAGGGCGACGATAATCAACTCTAAACACTGAAGGGGGGGTCCCTTTATTATCATCGGCATGCGGTTACACCTAGCTGACAAACAGTCGGGCAAGCCAACATGACGCCGTACAAAACGATTTACCAAGCACACATCACGTTCCCCTGCACCTATCGTAAGCAACTGCGTGGTTACGCCAGAACAAACTTACAGCGAAATGAAACAACATACCGAGGGACGCACCCAACCCGTGCTACACGCGCGGCGACTACTCTGGGTTTCTTGATAGACGTGGGGGGGTAACCCCCCGACGGGTTAACCTCGCCTCGTCGTCGCGCCGCGACGGGGGTCGGAGCGCCTTCGGCGCGCGGTGGCTGCCCGCGACGGGGGTCGATGTGGGGCTGTCGGCGGGGGTGACGCCCCCCGACGCTTATTAAGAAACTCGGCGCATCCCTTGCAAAAAAACACCAGGGATCTCCAGAAGCCCTGAATGCTGGATACGCTCTGGCGACAGCTACACGCCTGGCACCACCCTGGGAGGGCGAGGGACACGAGCGTAAGACATCGCTGAGCTGGACCCCGAGGGGGGCAGCAAAAAGTTCGAGTAAAGGATCGACTGCAGAATCGATGCACAGTTTGTCCGTCGAGTCCACGTCTTTGCTCGCAGATTCGACGGAAAACAACAATTTTGGGGTACATCAGTTCTGTAGTCGATCTCCCACTCGAAAAGTGGCGACAGCTACACGCCTGGTAGCACCCAGGGGGGAGGGGGGCGACGGAAATATGTTGAAGACACCACTTCGTTGGACCCCCCCGAGGGGGCAGCAGAGTGGAGGTAGCTGCTTGCCCGGCAGCACCTAGGGAGGGCGAGGGATGCGTGCGTCAGACATCGCTGCGCTGGATCCCCAGGGGCGCAGCAAGCGAGGAGGAAGGAAAAGGCGAGGAAGGAGCGAGGAGGAGAGGAGAGGGCGGGTGGAAGAGAGGAGCAGAAGCACATAGAAGCACTCGATCCGAAACGAGCACCCAACACAGGAGAGTTGGGAATCAGCTGGCCTGGAAGCAAACATGTGGACCACGATAAACTGGCGGGCCCTGTGGCAAACAAGCCCTCAAGAAGCTGAAGCTAAGCTGACAACTAGACATAGAGCTCACCTAGATTAAGCCTAATTGGGCTGGAACTGCTCCAAATCGAATGTACCACCCCGCCAAAACTAACCTTACCCGGCTGGCGCCCTTGGAAAATAACGGTGCCCCAATGCTTGTCAGCGAACGGATGGCGCAGCGCCGAGTTGCTGCACCTCAGCGTCGGAGAACCGCGACTCATTTCTCCGAGGGAGCCAACCACGTCAAATTGATTTCGACAGGGGTTGCAACTCCCAAGCAGCGCTTGGGCCACGAGAGCCCTGTGGCCGGAAACTTGTGCTCAACGTGCCGCCATGGCGGCCCCGGCGGCACGCTCTGCCCTGCAAGCGGATAGCGTGCCGCTCCGCCCCGCGGGGCGGGAGGCTCGGCAAAGCTCGGGACGCTGGAGACTACGTAGGGCCTGGAAAGTGGACAGCATGCCGCGCCGAAGAGTGGTGGGCCAGAACCGGCGGAGCGACACGCCATCCTCAGGTCGGGCATGCCCTCCTGCAGACGGGCTTTGGAGCAAAATTTGAAAATACTCCAGGGATGTCCAGAAATAGTCAGAAATTGTCGAAAAATCGTCCCCATACTATTTTTTGACTGCTTTTGAAGATTCCTCTTATAGAGGGACAGGCCCGCCTTAACGCTGTCCAAAGGTTCCCGACCGCACTTACCCAGAAAGGCTTGCCCTCCGTCGCCCGGAGTGCCCGTGGTGCGGCCCTGTTCCCCCCGCGCTTCTGCCAACACGGGGCCGACCCCGGCCGAGAGAGCGGCCGCCTCTGCCAGCTCATGCCGGCGTTCCGCCCGTGGCTGGGGGAACTCTATAAAGGGGAACCCCTCCAGGTCAGGAAAGAAGGAGGCGCGTCTCTCGCCCACAGCTGGGGTCTCCTAGAGGTTCCCCTCCAGGACCCCCCTCGATGGCCCAGGTCGGTGCGTGAAGACGAGCGCGCGGGGGCGAAGATGCGGGCAGGCTCCGGGCTTGCGAGCGCCGAGTAGCTGTTGCCGGCGCCAGCTGGCTCGACGATGCTGGCTGCAAGGGTGTGTGGAACAACCACGTGCGCCTGGCGATCTCGCAGGGAGGGGAGGGGAGGGAGAGGGGGAGGAAGGGGAGGGGAGGGAGGCAAGCTAGGTGCGCTCGCGTCATATCTGACGTCCTACCCCTCCCTCCCATCCCTTACCATGGCGCTGATTTTCTCTATCCGCGGACGCGTGTCGTAGCGGACCTGTGGCTCCGCGCGCGCGTGCGTAGTGGGTGGTGGTGCGCGTGCGTGCGTGCGTGCGTGTGTGCGTGGTTGTTGGTGGTGGTGGTGGTGGTGGTGGTGGTGGTGGTGGTGGTGGTGGTGGTGGTGGTGGTGGTGGTGGTGGTGGTGGTGGTGGTGGTGGGGTGCGGCGCGGTGGTGGCGGGCGGATGGGCGCGCGAGAAAGAGGCCCGCGCTGGGGCGAGAACGCCATCCTGAACGACGGAGGCCAAACACCGATCCGAAAATGAGGCCCACGCTGCAGCGGGAGCACGATTCGTAACGATTCGGGAGCAGAAATGAGGCCGGCGCCTCAGCGAGAGCAGCATTTTGAAAAAAAAGCAGGCGAAAACCCAACTCCCGGGAATCCTGTGTAAAAAAACAGTACGCGGGGGGGGGGTCGGCCACTCCCAGCACGCCATCAGGGGAAGAGGGAGAGTAGTATTCATATTGAGTAATTGTGAAGGGAGGGAGGGGGAAAGGGGAGGGAGGAGGTAAGGCAAGGGAGGGGAAGGAGGACAGAAGGGAAGGGGGGAAAAAAAGTGAGTGCGCGAATGTCCGAGGCCGAACAGAGGTCAGAAGCAGAGTAGGCAGCCGTGCACCCTCAGCGCGCACTTACCTTGTACCGACTCTCCAACGCCAGATCTCTGAAAGGGCAGGGAACAAAATCGGGGTGGTAGCTCTGACTGGACCAACGACTCTTCTGAACATCTCCCTCCCCAGCCGCTAACGCGGTCTGGAGTCTCGATGAGTGCGCCAGGCGACCGTCGAAATTAGGTGGGCACGAGTGCACATGCGCGCGCGGACGCCTCCATGTTCGTCAGCGCACCTGGGCCTTGTACGTACACACTGTCGGACCGAGCAAACCACTGAACGGCAGCAGTGGCACGGCACTCGAGAGGCATCAACGCACTCAACACTTAGATCGGGGAAATCTCTTCCAAGATATCAAGAGCCAGGTCTCCGCAAGAAAGCTCAGGAAGCTCAGCCAAGCTCCTCGAAGTTCGCCGTGCATCGGCAAGAGCCTTTCAAGATCCAAGCTTAGAGTCTGGATCTCTTCACAGGTCCAATGGGCGCACAAATGGAATGGAAATCTCAGGAGCGCGGCACCACCGGAGACGCGGTTCCGCGACGTGAGGGCGGAGGTCGCTCTGCGGGGGTACACGCGCCGCGCACTTGCACACGAGGAGCTCCCCTCCCTTTTCCTCAGATCGCATCACATCCCATCTCCTCCTCCCCCTCATCTCCCCTCCCCTCCACTCTTCCCCTCCCCTTCTCCCCTCAACTCCCCTTCCCTCCCCTCCTATCCTACCCCCCCTCGAGATCTCTCACACTCCCTCCCCTCCTCCCCTCCCTGATGCTGCCGCGCATCGGACCCAGGTCGCATCCACACACGAGCACCTTCGCCGCGCACGCGAGCGGCACGCGCGCGTGCGCGGTGGGGCAAGCGGGAAAGAGGTGTGAAACCTAAGGTCGGCTACACGCAAAAGTGACCCTGGGTAAGAGTGACCTTTGGCGCGCGGCATTTGGGGGGCCACGGGAGGGCAAACACAACCGCGCAAGACGCCACTGCCGCCTCGCGCTCGGTGATCGGGGGACCCCAGGGGGCCCGCACCGAAGGTCACTCCGGCGAAGGGTCACTCTTACGTGTAGTCGACCAGGGAACCCCGTGCCGAGTGGCACGATGCTGCCGACCTCCAGCGAGGCGAGGCGGTCGCCAGCGCTTCTGGCCAGGGCCTCAGGATCGATCGGGGCACCTCGCCGGCGCCAGCCGCGGCGACTTTGGTGGTCGGGGGCTGCTATGTGGCAGCTGCGGCGGTCTCACTGCTGGCCTTCCATCGGCGGCCTGCTGCTTGCGACAGGTTAGAAATGCTCCTCGGCACTTGCGTTGGCGATGGGGTCCTGAACGGGTAGACCTGGTGAAGCCTGCCCGCGGCCAGGAGAGCATAGCCACTGGGCATGACCGCAGAACGCGCGACCGCTGCCGCCGCTCGCCGCGAGGCACCGCCATCCGCTGGAGGGGGTGAAAACGGGGACCATGACCAAGACTGCACGCGGAAGCGTCGTGCCCATCTTGGTCACCGTCGATCTTGGTTAGCGCCAACTCGTGGCTTCCCCATGGGCACTGGCAGGATCGATCATAGTCTGGACGCCGCACGCATAGCTCTTCACGGGGATGTCCAATTTCACGGCGGTGCGCTGCCAGAAGAAGGCCACGCCCTGGCGTGCGTCACCATGGAGGAGCACGACCCAGGGCGTTTCCTCGGGCTGGCCCGACGAGCCGATGCTTTCCTCGGGGCGTCGTTTTTGCAACTTGCTGGCCCAGACCGCCAGCAGGTTTTCAAAGCGGCTCCTGCTGCGGCAGCTCGCACGGGGGCCAGGCCGCATCGGCGGGGCACGCGCCTGACTCCTCCAGATCGGGCCTGGCCGCCGGCTCTCGGAGGCGTCCCTGCACCGCGACGGGATGGCGAAATCGCCGCCGCAGACCCCTGCGCCGATGCGGAGGCCGGCCGAAGGTCGTAGCAAGGTGGCGCAGCCGACAGGCCGGCGGCAGCGGCCTGCTCGCGGCTCTTTTGCGGCCGCTTCGCATGCCACTCGGAGCTCTTGGTTCTCCTGGCGGTTGGATCGTCAGCTGCCGCCTCGAGGTCGACGTCGGGTTCGGCAGCCAGCTCAACCCCCTCTGCGGGTGGGCCTCCAGAATGGGCTTCCGGAGGACCCGGCCATAGGCCACCTGAGGCCGACCCCCAGCTTGACCCAGAAAAGCTTGAGCCTCCGAGGGTAAGAGGGAGAGAGAGAGAGAGAGAGAAAGAGAGACGGGCAAGCAAGGGCAGGAGCAAGAAGGCGCAAGAGCCCAGGCCTAGAAGGCCTAGCGATTGCTACAAATAGCTCATCTGCGGGTGGGCGGCGCCGCTGGCGCCTGAGCGTGGTGCGGGGCTCGGCGTTGGTGCAGCGGCCGACCGACGGCCCCCTCCTCGGGAAGGGCGCGGCCGCGTGTGCAGCCGGAAGCGCAGGCCCGAGACTCGATCCGCGGAGCCCCGCGTCGGTGCTCTGGAAGGATCTGCTCCCTGCTCTCCAGCGGGGAGCTCGCGGTCGGCTCTCCCTGCAGGCAGCAGGGGCTGGGATGGGGGCTCGGGGCAGGGGGGGGTCGCTGCGGCCCCTCTTCCCTGGAGCTCTCCCATGCTGAGCGGGGGGCCACCGGCTGCAAGGACGAGCCTCGAAGACATCCGCCTACATGCAGGATGTGAACTGGCCGTTCCGAGTAGGGCGCTGGCCACGGTGACCAGCATGCGCTGCTCTTGCGGCCAGCTGCAAATCCGCAAGGAGGGCAACACGAGTGGCGGTGTCCAACGAGTCTCCGCTGCGGATTCGCGTGTCGAGCTCCACGGTGGGCGAACGTGCAACCATGCGCCGGTCTCCCAGCGCCCACGTGCCCACGTCCCCGGCTGCCCAGCGCCTCGGCTGGCCTCCTGGCCAAGGCTGCGATGTCCGCCATCCGAGGCACGGGCTCTTCTCTGGGCAGCAATGATCCGCCGGCCCCCTTGTGGGGCCAACAGGCTGCGAGGCGCGTGATTCGCAGTTTCCTGTGCCAGTTGTAGTTTGTAGTTTCCAGTGTTGCAGTTCTGCTTCTTGCTGGTTACTGTAACTAGTTGACTTCTTGCTGGTTACTGTAACTAGTTGATTGACCGCGCGAGGGGGGGGAGGCCCAAACGGGATTTTTAGCGTCCCCTGGGCGCGTTGTCTGAATTGCTGGGGGGGCTCGAAATCGACACCCCTCGCGCAGATCCGCGGGGTCAGGGTCCAAAAACACAGGGGATTTGCCACATTTCTGAAATTCGGTGCCACCCCTCACGCAGATCCGCGGGGTCAGGGTCCAAAAACACAAGGGATTTGCCACATTTCTGAAATTCGGTGCCACCCCTCACGCAGATCCGCGGGGTCAGGGTCCAAAAACACACGGGATTTGCTACATTTCTGAAATTCGGTGCCACCCCTCACGCAGATCCGCGGGGTCAGGGTCCAAAAACACAGGGGATTTGCCACATTT